ACCCGCTGGGAAAGCAGGACCCGAGGAATCCCACTGCGGGCCTGAGATCCTCTGTGCCTCAGTTTCCCCAGGGGAGGGGAAGCCCCGTTTCTGTCTCCCCGGGGTTGGAGGCAAAGAGGCCCATTCTCTCCCCTAACGGATGCATGCGGTGCGATCGATCCCATCCCACGTCCGGTCCCTTCCTGCCCCCAGGCCACCGCCTCCCCCTCCCCCCACCTCCTCCCCGGCGGCTGCAGGCAGTATCCCTCCGCGGGTGGCAGACGGGACCCAGAGAGGGTGTGAGCCCCTCTAACCTCAGTGCAAGGCAGAAGGTGCCCGACCTCTCGCGGCGAGGGCTCACCTGGAGGACCCCGCCCCCCAGCAGTGAAGACAGAGCCGCCACGGAGATGCAGGCCGAGCCATAAATGAGTGCTGCAGCGAGGGGAGGCACCGTCAGTGGGGAGAGGCTGCCCTGGCCCCCCACCCAGATCCCCCCAACTCACAGAGCGCCTTGGAGATGATGACGAGCCTGCGGGGTGCCAGGCCGGGCAGCCGCGATTTGATGAGGTCCTCCACAGTGACCGCAGCCATGGCATTGATGCTGGTGGATGCGGTGCTGGGGGGCGGGGGGAGGGGGGGTGTGTGGTCAGACCATATCCAGAGACTGGTCAGCCATTTCTGGGGCCCACCTGCTGGGGATCCCCCTGCTGGCCACACCATCTGACCCGCCAGGACCCCACCTAGCCAAGGGCAGAAACATGGGTGACAGACTCCCCTAAGAGTGGAGGCGAGGCCTACCCTGCCCCCATCCACAGACTTGAGACCCGCCCCCCCACACACACACACACACAGGAGCAGGGATACCCATAACCAGGGACACGGATGACACACGTTCTTGTTACAGAGACCTGCCACCTGGGACTCTGTCACCCTGTGGCCAGAAGTCATGGAAGACTTAAAACCACCTGAATGTGAGGCCCATGAGGGCAGGAGAGGGGACTACTTGGTCACGGCTGTGCCCCCCAGGATTTAAAACAGCAGCTTTAAAGCATAGTCGTTCTCAATAAGCATTTGTCTGGGGAAGAAGGATGGAGAGGGGGAAGGAAGACAGGGGAGCCACCTGTGGCTGCCAGGTACTGAGGCGAAGACCCCACAGCTGGGGTCCGTGTGCCCAGGGTGTGCCCTCTGCCAGACCCACCCGAGCTGCCGCTGGGAACCAAGCAGGAACTGTGAGTGGTAGGCACGGCCCAGAGCGTTCTGTCCCAGAGGGGCGGCTGGTAGGGACAAGGCTCCGAGGGGCTGGGACAGGCTGGGCGAGCAGGCAGGGCCACTCACCTGAGGGTGCCACTGTAGGCACAGGCCAGGAAGAGGCCAGGGACTCCAGGCAGGTCCTTGAAGATGTCCAGCACGAGCAGGGGCATGTACTGGGGGGAGGAGGGGGTCAGCCTCCGGGACAGGAGCACCCAGCGGCTGGGGCTTCTGTCTGTCCTCACCCTGCGCGGCCCCAGCGCCCAGTGCAGAGCGGGCTCACAGTGGGCACTTAGTGTTTGTGGATGGGCCGCATGCACCTGTGATTGCCACTGAGCCCCGCCACGCACAGAGCCACGGGGTCCCGGTGAGGCAGGGCCCCGTGTCATCGCTTTATGGACGAGGACAGTGAGGCTGAAAGGTGCAGCCCTGCCTGAGGTTGCAGGCAGGATTCTGACCCCAGAGGATGGCAGATGCAACAGCCTTGCAGCCTCTGTCCACTCTGTGCCCTGTAGCTAGAGCTGCCCTTGACTTGCCTGCGGACCTTAGACAGTTGCCTCCTACCCTCTCCAGCCTCAGTTTGCTCATCTGTAAAGTGGGCACCATGACATCCTTGGCCTTATCACATATTGAAGGATTGGATGGGAGACTAACTGCTTGTGAAGGGAGGGAACGGCATGAGGCATAGGGTTGGTGCTTGGCACACGGGAGCCGGTCATTAATATTAACACCATCACTGTGCGTTGGACCACGGTCCCATCTTCTTGATACCCCTCAGGGAGTCTGACTCGAGGTCTGAATGTGCCCCTCTCCTGCTCACATCTACCATGGCTCCTCATCGCCTCCCAGATCCTCCTCTGAGCCAAACTCTCTCCTGCGTCTGCACCTTTGCACAGGCTGCTAGGAAAGCTCTTCTACCGTCACCCCCAGAGATTCATCCATATAGAGATACAGAGTGGGGTGGGGTCAGGAGCGGCCTAGGAGCCTGGACCAGACTCACCTGGTCGGGGGCAGAAATACGCCCTGTGAGGAGGGGGTCGCAATCCATATAGAGTGTGAACATGACGATGCCACAAGCAACAGCACTGGACACAATCAGGAACAGGCCCAGCTGGTTGATGAGCAGGGCCCTGTGGGGAGGTGTGCCTCAGGCTGGGGATGGGGGGGGCCGGTGCATCCTAGAGACCCCCATCCTGCCCCCTCCCCCAAACACTTACAGTTTGGCCTGCTTCTCTGTGCGGCAACCCACATAGCGCTGCACCTGTGCTTGGTTCACGCCATACATTGAGAGCCACACCAACGTGCCGCCCACCGTAAGAGTCCAGAATGTGTACCGACTCCGCGGGTCTGGGTCAAAGCTGGATGAGGGCAGGGCAAGCCATCCATGTGGGACACCACATTGAATTCACTTTCCCAAGGGCCCCAGATGGCCATTATCCTTAAGGGCCTTAAGGGGACATTTGGGATGGGTTTTGAAGTGTGAGTAGGAGTTTGCCTGATTGAAAATTCATTTATTTGTTTACTGAGTCATCTGTGTTTGTGCTCCAAAACCATTCTTTCTGTGCCCATCTGGGACCTCAGAGAGCCTTCAGTTTCCAGTCTGGCCGGAGGTGGGGGTGGGGGAGTACAGAGAAGGGGAGCCAGGGTGCTATCTTTGGGGAGTCTGGGGAGGGGATCGGGTGGGGGGGCTTCCTGGAGCAGTAGGCATTGACTGGCTTCTCCCAGGGCAGAGGGATGCCAGCTCCATCCTCTTGCATTATCCCCCTCTACAGTTTCACTCACTCCATCAGGTTGATCCGGGAGTGGTTCTGGGCAAGCTTGAACACCTGCCTGGGCCCGCCCACAAGCATGATCCCGCGAACCAGGACAACCCAGAAGCCAGCCAGCATCACCACAACCTGGAACACATCGGTCCAGATCACAGCCTTCATGCCGCCCTGCAGGATGTGACAGAGAGGGAGAGAGGGGGTCAGACAGACACCTGTCTGGGGCCTGCAAGACAGGACAGAGTGAGGCAAAGAGGGAGCAGACAGGAGACCTGGCTGAACCAATGCCCCCTTCTGCCTGTTTCCTATCTGTAAAGCAGGGTTAAGAACAGTACTCTCGCCAGAACCGGTTTGGCTCAGTGGATAGAGTGTCAGCGGTACTCTCCTGCCCTGGCCGGTGTGGCTCAGTTGGTTGGAGTGTCGTCCCATACAAGGAAAGGTGGCGAGTTTGATTCCCGGTTGGGGCAGGGGTGGGATCTCCTGTCGGGGTGCGTTCCTCTCTCCTCTCCTCTCTCTCTCTCTCTCTCTCTCTCTCTCTCTCTCTCTCCTCCCCTTTCCTCTCTCTAGACTCAATTAAAACAAATAACAGCACTCTCCTTATGGTGATATAAGAATGAAATTAGTTAATATGAGAAAAATATTTGGAATGGCGCATATAAGTGTTCAGTGAGTGAGTGAGTGAGTGAGTGGGTGATGGCTGCTGCTATGATGACTATCACCATTACTATTCCCTGCTGCCTTTACCCTCCCAGCCTCCACGCCTTTACATTCCCACGGCAGCCCCTGCACTTTCCTCTGGAGAAGCCCCTTTTCCCTCATAGGCTGTTCAGGTGAGGCCAGTCCTGCTCCCAGCTCCAAGAATAGCCAATGAGAATATCCGAACCCCAAAAGGTGAAGGGATTAAACCACAAAGCCAAAAACCTCTTAGACACAGACAACATGGCGATTCCCAAGGAGGACGGGGAGGGTGGGGAGGTGGAAGAGGGCCTCGGGGGTAAGTGGTGATGGAAGGAGACGTCTTGGGGTGGTGAACACACAACACAACGTACAGATGATGCATTATAGAATTGTACACCCGGAACCTATATACCTTTATTAACCAATGTCACCTCAATAAATTCAATTAAAAAAATAATATCCCAGCCCCCCAAACTTCTGTTCATTCTGTGCACAAGACCAAAGCCGGCTAAACAGAGCCCTCCCGGACTTTAGCCAGCCCATCCTGAAACAGGAACTCACTTTCTACCCAAAGGGATGGATGCATGGAGCTGATGGAGCCCCTAGAGATGGGAGCGGTACACAGAGGACACTGTTGTAGCCCCTGGATCCAGCCAGGCCTGAAGCGACCTTATCCCTGGACCCTAACCAATAAGACTTTCAAATATTCTTTCATTATAAAGATGAGGAAACAGGCCCAGCTGACACTGGGCTTCCTCAGGAGGAAGGAAAAGTAGGGAGTGTAGACAGCCAGCCCAGGGTCTCCCCTATCCAGCGGGCATGAAGCCCCCAAGTGGGGTCGGCGGGGGGGGGGGGGGGGGCCACTCACCACAGTGGTGTACAAGGTGCAGATGACTCCAGTGGACAGGAGTGACCCCCAGATGTCCAGCCCGGTCACTGTTCAAGGAAATCCCCCCCATTAGGCCACCAAGTGGGGTGCAGATTTGGACTCCAGTGTCTTGGGCTCTTCTCCCTCCAGGAGTCTTCCCTCCCCAGGGTCCCTGGGACAGCCCCTGCCGCCTCCTCTGGGATAGCCTGTAAGCCTTTGCCGCATCGCAGACACCCTCCCCTCTCTTCTCTTCTCTCTCTCTCTCTCTCTCTCTCTCTCAGAGCCAAACCTTGGTTCAGGATGAGTGCAGGGGCGTAGATCACGATTCCAGTGTATAGCACCTGCAGGGGGGAGAGGGGGAGGGTAGTGGTTGTGGTGACTGGGAATGAATCCAGAGATGGGAGAAGGAGGGTGTTTGGGGTAGAGAGGAGGCAGGTGGGCGGGGGCGGGCAGGTGGGGGCGGGGTCAGGTCAGGTCAGGTCAGGGCTGGCAGAAGGTGGGGGCTGGCGGACCAAACCTGTAGACCTGACGAAGTGGGCAGGGCACGGGCTGAGCCTTGCTGGGTGGAGATGGGACCCACAGGGGTAGGTGGGGAAGGAGGGGGGAGGGTTTTGGGCGGGGCCGACGAAAGCAGGACCCTGGGGGAGAGGGCAGGGCCCAGGCCACTCACTGTGGCCAGCAGGTACTGCAGGGTCCCACAGAGCCGCACCGCCCGGCTGAAACGGAGCTCCAGGTACTGCAAGGAGGAGCCGAGGGCTCGTGGTCACCTGGACAGATCCTACCTCGGGGCTCCAGACCTCGGGGTTCCTTCACCCCCTTGGCTTCTGCCCTCTCTCCAGAGGACAGCTTTGCTCTCTGCACTCCTGCCCGTGGGAACCTCTACCAAGTACACACATTCCCACCGTCCGCGCACACCTGTGCACACCCACCATCTCCATGCCTGTGCCCACAGCATATGTGTACACGTCCCCCCGCCACACACACAAACTCGTGGCCAACAGTTATTAGCCGCGATTTTAATCACTTCACCCACTGCCTAAGGAAGGTCCTGTAATTAGCCGGGTTGGACACATGGGGAATCTGGACAGAGGCCTGCCCCCAGCCCAAGTAGGAGACAGAGGGGAAGTCAGGTTTGGAATTTCCAGCCCGCCGTCCGACAGCACTCAGGCATCGACATGCTGAGGCATGTGGGGGGCAGGTGCGCACCTGTCCACAGGTGAAGTGCAAGCCCGGCCCCACCCCCTGCGGGCTTCCACCGAAGAGAACCAGGACACCGGCTCCTCTTCCTCCTTCCTGCCCCTGGCCTCACTGCCTGGGGCTTCTTCCCAGAACCCTGCCCACCTGGATGCCTAAGGGGTGGGGGCGGGCACGAAAGCACCAAGAAGCCCCTCTGTGTACCCCTGCACCGCGGCCCACCGCCCCGGGGCTCCCCCCACTGCATCCCCGCGTCCCCAGCCAGGCAGGTCCGGCTCCCGGCCTCTGCCCAGTACCTGGTACGTGCTGGTGAGGCCCAGGCGGTAGAAGACGGGCAGGTAGAAGGCAGCGGTCAGGAGGGAGTTGAGCAGCTGGCCCAGGCACATCCAGAGGAACTTGAGGCCGTAGCGGTAGGCCTCCGCGGGGACGCCCAGCACCAGCCCGGCC